GAACAGACTCGAGGTGAGGCAGGCAGTTCTCTTGCCTCATCGATGGGGGCGCTCATGATCCCAGATATTGTGACTGCACAACTGCAGAGTAAGACACAGTGAGCTAGCCATGGAGCTCACAGTAAATAAGTAAAGTACAGTGATATATTTGTTTTCTTCTCTCTTCCAAAGTCAACATGAAAGACTACATTTCTACAGTTAAACAGTTTTCTAAAGTGGATTTTCAACTCCTGGAGATAATAACTAAAGGAAGACCAACACCGGAGCTGAAGGTTTTGCTTCGAGACAGTTTGATGATTCTCAGACGGAGTTGAAAAGACATGCCGAGGATAGACTTGGCTTTGGATGAACGGATATTTTTGTGCACAATTAGCTGTGCATGGATTTCATTGATAAGTAAAGGTAAGACAGCAATAAGATGTTTTTGTTTAGTTTTTTTTTTTATGAAATGTGAGTTTTGTGGGCTACAGTTTATATGTCTAAGTAATTCAGCAAAGTAGAAGCGGTAGCTAATCTACCACAGCAATTATTTATTAATAAAACATTAAACCTTAAACGTACTACAACAGACTGAATGTTCTGTTCTGTGTGCAAAATTCTTGAATGTTTTTTTTGTCGTTAAAACCTAAAACATGAAGTGGCATTGTTGTCAATTGCTATGGCAACGAGTCTGTGTAGCTTGGCGAATACAGATCACTTTGCTGTGGATCATAGCACGAAATCAATATCTACATTTCTAAGTTTCACTGAGTTAACGCGGCTATGTAAAAGATTAGTCTTTTTTGCCCCCCAGCGTTGTATGCCTGCGCGAAATTTCCGTACGTCCAATAACATACATGGTGTCTATATAGTCGTAAGTCAGTGCCTCACCAGCAATAAATCTCTTTGAATTGGCCAATAGAAACAAGTATCAGCAATAAAACGTTTTTCTCTGGTAATTGTAATTTAAACCCAGCACAGGACATCTGTTTGTTCCCCAAAATAAACATTTCCATCTTTGGTAAACTTTTTCCCACCGACTCTATGAATTAGCCAGTAGAAACAGAGACAGCAATAAAATGTTTCTCTCTGGTAGGCACAATTTAAACCCAGCCAGAACATCTGTTAATATGTAAAAATCAACATTTCCATCTTTGGTAAACTTTTTTCCCACCGCCTCTATGAATTAGCCAATAGAAACAGAGACAGCAATAAAATGTTTATCTCTGGTAGGCACAATTTAAACCCAGCCAGAACATCTGTTAATATATAACAGAAAATAAACATTTCCATCTTTGGTAAACTTTTTCCCACCGCCTCTATGTATTAGAATAGAAACAGAGACAGGTATCAGCAATACTCACTAATTTCAAATAGTTCACTTTTTATTTTATTCTAGTTGTTGCAGACTCAACCTAAATAGATTAACTTATAAAGCATTTTTTTTTATTTTTTAAATCCAAAAGTTCCTCCCACTTGTTTAAGATGAGTACAAACAACAAGTTGATGAGAATTAAATTAAGTTCACTTGAACTCTTTTATGAAGCAGAATGTTTTATTTTACTGTGAGGAAGGCCGGAGTCTAGGTTTAGCAGATGGCTGGAGGCATCTGACCCACGCTTAAAACTCAGTACATGTTTGCTCTATGGCAAAAATTTGGTAAGATTAAATTTAGTCGGCTAAAGAAAGTCAGACGGTTCATTCTCCACTGTGAGAAATCTCTTGAGGTAGTCAAGTTTCTTGTTTGTTCAGATCTTGCTAATCATTTCCATAGTATGATTACTAATTAACAGTTGATTCTTTTGTGTCTAGAGGCTATCTAATCATTCAGTTCACAATTGAAGTTTTATTATTGGGATTCTGCAAATTGAATATTTTCATAGTCATTCCTTTCATACAGTCTAGGCTCCCTGAAAAGGAGAAATTATCTTTCTGAGAAATATAATTTTTATTGCTCTGAGTATCATGATATTTTACTTAATCTGACTGATATGATCTTCTTGAACACATACTGATGCTTCACATTGATCATTTATAAGCTTATCAGTTACAAGAGGTATACTGTCTGTTAGTGAACATTAATGAGCAGGTAGCATCATTAGCACCAAGGAACAAAAGCTGTAGATAATTTTAAAGGTAACAAAACAATTTGCCATGTTGTGACCAACTCTTGGAGCCTGGTTGTATAGTGAGAATGTTTCATTCTTTAGGTAAAGTGTACCAATAGCAAACTTAGTCAGTGTTATAAGTTGGGCCAGGTGTCAAAAGATGCAAGTCTCTGTGAGAGGGGGTACTTGAGAAAAAAAGCACAGATCCACTGATTGAATTGTTGGTTGATAGCCAGCATCCACCGTACCATTCAGTTTGATAAATATTTACACAGAGCATCATTCAATAAACCGATAGAAATCCAAGTGCTCACATCAAAATATAAAATCTAAATAAATTATACAAATTGTATTAAATATACAGACTTATGGTTCTCATTGATAATTTCTAAGTTTTAGTAATGGGACCTTCAACAACTACAGGTTGACTGTATTTTGTTAGTGAACACACTTAAGCATGTAAGTAATGGATGGAGAGAAAGAATAATTAGGGCCAAGAAACACAGCATATAAGTCAGAGACAAAAGTTGTGGATAATTTTAAAGGTAACAAACAATTTCCCATCTTGTGAGCAACTCTTGGAGCGTGGTTGTGCACTGTAAAAAATCAACAAAAAAACTTTCAACATTAGGGAAAGCTGAAAGATAAATATGAGTAGCCTCACCTAGTACTGTTTAGTCCCTTTCACATATTCTTAAGAAATAAATTTACAGATGAGGAACTTTTACTGACATATATCACACGAGCAAGTGTGACAGAAAAAAAAAATCTATGAGTTTCAAATGTATTTGAACCAACCTTTACTATTTTGGAGAAAGCCTGAAAGCATTTACAATGATGTGAGGCCAAATTCTGGAAAGGGAGTGATGTTAGAGTTTGTCTTTCACTTTAACTGCAGAAAGCTAAAAGTTAAATTTGAGTAGCCTCACCTAGGCCTGTTTACTGCCTGACTCATATCCTTAAGAAATACATGTCCAAATGAGGAACATTTACTGAAATGTACCACACTAGCAAGTGTTACAGAAAAAAGCTATTAGAGTTTAAAATTTAAACGACTGTTTTCGGAACGGATGAAGGAAATTACAAACTCAGTCAGCACTGACTAGTCGTGCTACCATAAATAATGCAGTAAAACAGTTAAACTGTTGTTTTCCTTCAGAGGTTTCTGTCCATGCGTAAGCGTGGACAGGGACGGTTTCTGTCCATGCGTAAACGTGGACAGGGACGGTTTCTGTCCATGCGTAAACGTGGACAGGGACAGTAGCTGTGGTGAGCAGGGGCAGGGGTCGCTCCCCTCCACGCTGTGCAGCAGGAAGACAGTTTGTCTCACATAGGCCTGTTTACACATATTTTTAAGAAGTACATGTACAAATGAGGAACATTTAAAGTTTAGTTCTTATAGATTCAGGGGTTTTTGTTGTTGTTGTTGATTGGATGAAGGAAATCACAAATGCTACTTAAAATGTTTTGTACTTTAATTCCCTAAGAGTACCCACACTGAGCACTAGTACCATCGACCCTCCCCTTTGTGAATGTGTTGTACTTTAAATCGTTCACAAACAGATGTCCTGTGCTGGGTTTAAATTGTACCTACCAGAGAGAAATGTTTTATTGCTGATACCTGTCTCTGTTTCTATTGGCTAATTCATAGAGGCAGTGGGAAAAAGTTTACCAAAGATGGGAATGTTTATTTTTATATATTAACAGATGTCCTGGCTGGGTTTAAATTACACTTACCAGAGAAAAACGTTTAATTACTGATACCCATCTCTGTTTCTATTGGCTACTTTATAGAGGCGGGAAAGGCAATTAATGATTAGGGTCATAAATCACTCTATCGATTAAATTTTTTCATAAGGGTGTCCATATGTCTCTCTTGGGACCATTTTGACCTTACATCAGAAAATAAAGTATTTGTTTTCATTTCGTTGTAGTTTCATCCAGCCCTTTTCAGTTTCTACTTGATCTGAATCCAAATTCAGCTGAATTTGAGTCTTGGTTTATTTTTATAGTGTGTTCTCCAGGTTAAGTGTTGCATATGTTTGGCAGAATTGTCTTATTTAAATAATAAGACAATACTGAGGCATTACAGGGCCAGGCATGGGAATGAAGTTCCAGATACACCTAGGATAAACTCAAGGATACAGCCATTCTACAAATTACTCAGATGCTTTTTATGAATTATTTCATATCAATGTATTGTTTACTTAATTTTTTTCTACAGCAGGAGAAACTGTGTCAAAAAAGCGTAACAGACTAAATTTCAAAATGTTGGAAAAACGTATTCTTTTGAATGAACATTTGTGGGGGGGACAAAAAAAGCCCCCCCACCCCCGAAAAAAAAAAAAAATCCACAAGCATCCTCATTCTAAACACGTTCACTTAAATTTTCACTTTATGGTACATGTTACATTTAACTGAAGATATGACATGATATATAATGCACAAAAATACTAAGATCAAATCAGTCTGTAAACTACGTTGCCTGTAGGGATTTTTAATGTCCAGCAGGTGTCAGTATTGGGTCGAAACGCTACATGACGCCTCATCCGCCCATCACTAGTGATAAGGATCCTGAGGTTATATCTGCTGCCACCTACCGTCTTTTTCTGGTATTGCAGGTCACTTGAGACTAAGGTTGTCATGATTTGTATGATTTGTGGTGGTGAGGATGAACGCTGAGACCCAGTTCATGATGATGAAGATGATGATTTAAGAAGCTCAAACAGTCCAATGCAGGCGGCATGGCAGAGAGAATAGCACACAGCTAATTACTGGTAACAACTGATAGAGGACTGAACTGACGCCAACACAGGATTTAACAAGTTCTACTGTGACTACTGACAGACTGACGCTGACGAAGGCGAGGACCCGACAAGAGTAAATACACACGAGGTAATCAAGGGAACGAGACACACCTGGGAACAATCAAGGGCTGGCAGGACAACACAGACACTCCCAAGGAACAGAAGCCAAAATAAACAGTGAAAACCCAAATCCTCACAAAGGTAAGTCCACTGGGTTTGCCTCTATGATTTTTTTTTACTGCTACTACAAATAATAATAACAATAATAATAATAATAAATTTTATTTGCAAGTCATTGTACATTTGAACCAGATTTCAAAATATTACTTTTGTGGTAAACATTTCATTAAACATAAGATTTAAAAAAGCCATTGTACTTCAGTATATGTAGGATCAGATAAATTTATTTATAAACTATGTGAGCTCAATGAAAGTAAGAAGTATGACAAGGAATAGTAATACCAAAAAGTGGAGAAGACATTCAGGATAGGAAATGTAATGAACCGCTCATTCTTGCTGGTTTGATTTTTGAGTTCTTGCTGGACTTTCTCATGTTGACTAGATGTTTTCACTAAGTTGCAAACAGTTCATAAAGCCACGAAACAGGTTACATGGTACTCATATGGCTTTGCCGAGTAAATAAAGCAAATTATTTCAAATCACTTTATTCTCGGGAGCAAAATGTAAAATACATCAAATCAATTCAGTCAGTACAAATGAACGAATTTAATTTAAAATAAAATAAATAATAATTCTACTTGATAAAATACAATAAAATAAAATGCAAGTTTAAAATGGTGATTCTTCTAAATCCTACAACACAAATCCATGCAGAAGAAATAGAGTGGTCTAAATCAAATCCAAAACATGCAGTACATTTAGACTGTCCATATTTAGTGATTTGAGATTCAGACTCTCAGCACTGGTATCATTATTTGGGAGTAATAACACCAACAGAGTCCATTCAACTAGCCAAAAATATTCATAGGAAGGATATAATGATTATCACCATTCCCATATATTCTCACCAGATACTTTGGACAGGAAGTCATTTGCAATAATTGAGTTTCGACATATTGAGCAGATATATAGTCATAATAAAACAAACTAGAACATGTGTTTATATTATCTGTCATTATTACGGCACTTACGAAGCTAACAACTAGAAATATATTCAGACTTTTTGAATATGACTGCTTACATCTCTATGTGCACAGTGTATATGAAGGCAGAGAGCGAGCTAGTCATGGTCTTCCTGTAGTTTTACATAATTGCAGATGAAGTTTCTTCTTTCTGAGCAGTCCCCACTGATCCAGTTTGCTGTGTTGTACTTGGACAGCATGCCACAGTGTTGCCACTGGCTCGGACAGTCCGGCAGCATCTCCTGGTGGTCCAACGTCTCTCCGTCGGACCACCACCACTCCCCTCCCAGGAAACGCAATCCTGTCCAAACCTGGTAGACGTGAGCCAAGATTTCAACAGCAATATCAAAATAAATCCTCAACATATTTATGGTCTGGTTATTGCACAAAACAGTAAGTGACAAAATCAACCAAACCTCTTCACTGGTGGCCCTGTAGATCCGGTCTCTGACGTAGCTGAAGTCAGTAGGTCTTGTAACGCTCAGGAGGTCGTACTTATAGGAAGCTGATGACATTTCCCTGCAGCGACCCATGGCTTCCTCCCACGTCTTGTTCTCAGTCAACAGCACCAGATTGTCGTCATAGCAGACAAATGGAAGGGTTTCGGAGCAAATATTGCCAAACCACTTTTTTTTTGCACTATTATAAGAGCCACAGCTGTAGTCGGTTTTTGGTTGAGTGTCCCAATAACTGCTCCCTGAAACATCCTCTCCTGTCAAACCTTCACCTGTTCTGAAAAAAAAAAAACAAAAAAAAACAAAATGATGTAAAATTTGTTTCTGTTATAAACATGGGGATTGCACCAAAAAGGAAACTCACTTCACATTGATCCACCTCCAGACTGACAGTTGCTCAGGATCCTCATGCAAACCAATCCAGATTTCAGTGAGTTCTTGATTCTGCAGCCACGTAGTGAGCAGGTTCGGGTCTACTATGTCCCAAGTAATCATGTCTATGTGGTTCGTCTGGCAGAACTGTCTTGCATCGGTCCATGTCAGCTCCTTAGAAAATAAGTAAATGGTTAGTAGGAGCCTGGTTTCCATCTGAACCGCAGCATTAAAAAGGAGCAGCAGCAGCAACTCAGGATGGCCGTTCTTCCCCATTTCCTGCCCCGTTGTCGCATCAAGTCCAATGTGTCAGAGACAAAAATGTCAATTTATACCAGTGTAGAGGTCAGAGTCACTTAGACACGCCTCAGTGAGTCCAGCTGACCAGTAAAAACATTTCCCTACCTGATGTGGGAGAAATTTAACTAACACTTGGATCATAGTTTCCTGCTCTACACCAAGCATGGCATTTTGAATATAGTCATTTAAAATTTGCTTAATTAATCTTGTCCAGTTTCAAGAAGAACAATTTAACAAAAGGTAATATCTGGACAAATATTTCAGTTTGACGTTTTATTTAGCCCTCTGCCTTTATTTCTTTATTCTTCGTCATTCTCTGTAAAGCCACAGATTTTCAGCAAATTGTTTCGGTTCGTATTCAAATCTGTTTCAGTCACTCAGGAGCAGAAACTATGTTATTGACTAGAGCCGATTTGTGAGAAACACTAATGGAAGGATTACACATAATCAATCCTATTAATAATTTAGCTTTTTATATGTGAAAATAATGTCAAATAAATAAATAAAACAGATCCAAGTGCAGTCATGCATGTTTCAGTAGCTGTTCATTTCATTGTTTTGATGATTTATTCAAATTGTCCTCATTTACAAAGCATGGCTGGTAGGAAAATCTGCCTCCAGGTAAATGATCCAATTTGACATGCTAATTATCTTAGCCTTATTTGAAATAATAAAAACAGGTAAAAATAAAATTATATATATATATATAAATAATACACACACGTTTGTATATTTATCCATATTAGAACTTTGCATTGACTTCCATTCTTTGTAGCAACTGCATTTGTGCTTAACCTGACTTTTTCCCTCAGCCCAAACATTACTAGTCTTTTCCTGACCTTAACCTTCACCAAACCCTAATTTACACCATATCTCTAAACTCCTAACCTTTAACCCTAAACAAGGAGACCTTATGAGGGCCAGGCTTTGGTTGGCCATAAGGCCCATCAGTCTCCAGAAGGTTAATAAAAGTCCCAGAAATGAACCTAAATATGATAGTTGGAGAAGTACACACACACACACACACACACACACACACACACACACACACACACACACACATAAAGCAACATAATTTAAGGTTTTGTACCTTACTGTAACTACAAATGTTTTATTTTCAGAAGGATTTCAGCCATTATATAATATATAATTTGGATATTTAAGTTGTTTCTTTGCTCCTTGGATTTATTTGGATGGTTTGTCGATTTAAAGTTGCAGTTGAGACTGTGGCTACTTCTGATCACAACCAAAATATTGTTTATTAGTCAATCGGTCAGTTTTCTTTGACAGACCCTGATTACAGCAGATCAAGTGCTGAAAAACGATTTTGAAAAAAAATCTGTTTCTCAATATGTAAAGACACAAAAATGCTCTTTGATTTGCTTATATGGGACCAGTTAAAATCACAGAGAAGCTCCCAGAACTATCACAGGCGAAAAAGCAGTAATTGTAGCTATGATGAAATCCGGTCCATGATTTTCTGTCATGTTGTGCAACAACAGCATGACAGAAACACTTAAAAAAAATCTAACTAAATACAGAAATCCAGATCCCAGCCTTATGCTATGTTCCGTCTTATCGTGCAAGTAATTTTTGCGCAATCAAATTTTCTGCAGTCAAAATAGTCTGTGGTCTTGTGCAGGTGAGATCGGGTTACATGTAAAACACTTCATTTGAATCTTTGAAAGACATGCTGATGAGTAAATGAGAATGTAATTCTCGTTTGCTTGTGAAAATGTTAAATTAATGTGTTTTAAACAGATAAACGGAACACAAATTGATTAAAAGGTCAAAGTTGGTCTGAATCCTCAAAATCAATCCAAAATAAATGTTACTAGACATAAATGTGTGTGTAGTTAAACATTGTCAAAGGCAGATCATTTAAAGAGACGCCCTGAACACTTCTTCTCACTGCTAGGATTGTTTATTGTTTCAAAATTTCTAAAATCCTCCTGATCTGAATAATACAGCCTTAAAAATGTATATACACCCCCCATTAATATTTAGTTGTGTGTCCCTTACAAGGTAGATCATTGTCAACCATATGCCTACTGTAACAATAAAGAAAGTTGTAGCAGAAATTTGACCTGAATTAGTGTAGTTTGTTTTAATAAATGGATTTGCAGAGGTGGGTCTGGCTTTTATGACTTATGGGCTTATGCTACTGGAGCAATGCACATTTGAAATGTTTCACTCGGGGAAATTTTCTCCAGATGATTCTTTGCTTCTCGGTGCGGCTATAATGTCTTTGCAGTGGCTTTGTAAGCTCTGATTAGGTTAGGATTCTCTGGAGAACTAAAACTCTGGTGTACGCCTGTGGATCTATTTAAAGGCAATTCTTCAAACATGTCACCACTATTAGGGCCTCACAAATGTTGAGAAATGGACCTAGAAATTGTAGACTTAGATGTCCAAAACTATCACATTCAAAATACGTCCTAATTATTCCGTGTTTCTGGGTTTCATCTTTCTGCCTCCCAGTTCAAATTTGCCTGTTTGATCTGATTTTGATGTCTGATTGTTCTCAAGATACACAAGGACACATTGTTGGTTTTCTTCTTTAATTCAGTCAAAATTACAGCTGTTGTATATCTAATTATCACACTAATGTTATATGAATACAGTGCATGCAAAAAAAAAAAAAGGTAAACTGAAGATTGAAGACCAAGACACAAGCTTTAGTTTAATGCTAAACATTCATTCATACAATTTCAATTCAGTTTAATCGAACTCAAATAAACTCTGTTGATTTCAGTCCAATTCTATTCGAATCATTTCCCTTCAGGTCATTTTACTTTAGATTAATAAAAAAACATTAGCTTACATTAATTCAGTTCAGTTCAAATCAGACTGAGTCAGTTCAGTTCAGATTAACTTAACGGGTTTCAATTAAATTCACTTTGAGTCAGAGCAGTCAAACTAAATTAAGCTTAACTGAGTTGTATTTAATAAAGCTGAAATCTGCATGCAATAGAAACAGCCAGGCTCACTTGAGAGAGACCAAGTCACCTAACATGCACATATCGGAGTGTCCTTTGAGAATGTATACTGGAAGAACATGCAAAGTTATTGTTGCAGAAAATCTTAACCACTGCGCCCCAGTGCGGCTGTATGAAAGAAACCGACGGGACAAATTTAATGACACAAGTCTTGCTCCCAATGAGTGTTCATCCAAATAATGTTTCTCAGCCCTGAAATGAGCCGTAATACATGCATGTGATATGACCTCCCTCCCTGATCTCCCTGTATGAGTTTAAAAAAAAAAGGCATTTTTGACATTTCTGAACTTTTCTAATAAATGATAAGATTCGTCTATCAGAACAAAAACCTGCGTATGCAGAAAGCAAGCGTGGACCTATCCAGATTTAGAATCCCGCTTTTCCTCCTGATTTACAACTTCTTCATAAGAGCAGATGAAGTTTCTTCTTTCTGAGCAGTCCCTGCTGGTCCAGTTAGTTATGTTATATTTGGAGACGGTGCCACAGTGTTCCCACTGGCTCGGACAGTACGGCAGCATCTCCTGGTGGTCCAACGTCTCTCCGTCGGACCACCACCACTCCCCTCCCAGGAAACGCAATCCTATCCAAATCTGGTAGACACAAAGCAAGAGTCGAAGAATATTAAAATGAACGCACATGCACTGCAAAAACACAAAATCTTACCAAGTATTTTTGTCTAGTTTCTAGTGCAAATTTCTTAGTATACTTGAAAGAGCTAACTTACATTTTCCATCAAGAAGTAGCAGCTTGTTTTAAGTCGATCATTTTGTAATACTGGCAGATTATTTCACTTACAGTAGAGGGAAAATGTCTTGTTGGTGAAATAATCTGCCAGTGGAACCAGTTCTTCTTTTCATCAATATTAAATTGACTTAAAACAGGCTCCTATATCATACTGAAAAGTTACTTTTAAGTTAGTTTTGTGTTATTTTAAGAGTACGAAGACATTTGACCTTGAATCTGGACCAGCGCAGCTACTCATATTTGAGTTGAAAATGTTGCGGTTTTGCGTGAGAAGCTTCAGACCTCGTCGGTGGTGGCTCCGTAGAGCCGGTCGCTGACGTAGCTGTAGTCAGAAGAGTTGGTAATGCTCAGGAGGTCGTATTTGAAGGAGCTGTTTGTCATTTCCCTGCAGTGATCCAGAGCTTCCTCCCATGTCTTGTTCTCAGTCACTACAACCAGGTTGTCAGCATAGCAGATGAAGGACATCTCTAAAATGCAGAGGGTGTTTTTCCACTTTTTGGTGATGGTGCTGTAGGAGCCACAGCTGCCACCGACTGCCTGTCCCAAGAGCCAGTTCCTGCTGCCAGAGACGTCATCACCAGTCAAGCCTTCACCAGTTCTGATGAAAAACACACAAATGGCACGAGAGTTACCTTCAGCATTTCATCACAGTGGACATTTTATGTCATTGAATGGAAACTCACTTCACGTCGATCCACCTCCAGACCAATGACTCCTCAGGATCCTGGTGTAAACCGATCCAGACATTAGTGAAGCCTTCTTCTATCAGCCACGTCGTCAGCAGGTTTGGGTCCACCGTGTCCCAGGTGACCATGTCTATGTAGTACTTCTGGCAGTACCATCTTGCTTTGTCCCATGTCAGCTTCTGAGAAGGAAAATAAATGGTCTTTTGAACCTCAGCTTCTATCCAGGCCACAACATTAAAGAGGAGGAGAAGCACGAGTGCAGAGCAGCAGCCTTTCCTCCCCATCTTTACTCCTGTTGTCGCATCAAGTCAGATGTGTCGGTGCTGGAGAGAAGCCTTGTGTCATTTTATACCGGCCTACAGGTCAGTGTCACTCAGACACACCTCAGTGCATCCAGCAGACCAGTGACATCGCTTCCTCACCTGCTTTTGGAGGGAAATCACGACCCAACATTTACATGGACACGAGTTTTGGGTTTCGGAGGACAGCGTAGATTAAAATTTGACCCTTCTTCAGATTTCACCCGTGCTTTTCTAAATGAATAAATAAACACGCCAGTGAACACCAAACTAAAGTGTTTATGGTCTGTGTTGGCCCCTTTGATAGGTTTGCTTGTTCCATCATGCTGGTGGAACATAACCAGGAATAAACAGACTTGGTTCAGATTTTAAAATAAATGAATAAAAGAAAAATGTCTTTCAGTCCAGTTGTAATGTGGTTTTACAAGATTGTTGGACCAGACGTTATTGCATTTTATTCAAATTGTCCTAATTAAAAATTGTCTGTGTGAGATGATGTACAAATATGCTATTAAAAGCTTCACATCCCTGTAGCTTTATTAGTGTGTCACAAACCACTCAAGATGTATTTTTTATTATTATTTCATAATATTGAGCAACACAAATTAGTGCAGATCTGTAAGGTGGATGGAGAAGGAAACATGGCAACTTTTTAATGCAGCCAAAGATGTAGTTTTTTTTTGGGTTATGTCTGTAACACCTTCATAATTATATTGTTTATATTTTTTACATCAGATTTTAATTTGAACTTAGCACTTTAATTAGGCCATTCTAACATATGAATGTGGTCTGAACTGTACAATTGCAGCTGATGTTCCTGTGGGAAGGTGAACATTTCCCCCAGTCTCAAGTCTTTTTTAACATAGGATCGAGTACACTATAAAGGAAACTTCACAAGGCGACTGGTTGCCCTCCATTTTATTCAGAGGTCTGAATAGAAATTCAATAGAAATTTCATTTGTCTCTTTTGTGAGCCTATCAGATAAAATCCCAATAAAACCAGAGATTTGTGAAATTTGTGGTGTAATGTGTCAAAATATAAAAGAAAACGTTCAGGCAGTACTGAAGCCTTTGTACTGTAAATGAACAGTATGTCATGAACAACGTCTGGGTAACTAACTCAACCATAATGTCATCTAGATGACAGAAAACAATTCACAGACATAGATTAGAATGATTTTATTCTTTGAATTAGCTAAAACAATCAAGTATCTACAACCTGATGACAGACTCTGGTCCTTCTGACCACAAAGATGGTCAGCAGCGCTGGAATGAAAATGATCAGAGGTTTTTACTTAGATACAATAAATGTATTTTCCAGTGCAGCAGGTGGACACTTTATATCATATTCCAGCTTGTGCATTAGAGGCACGTCAGAGAGGCTATAGCTTGTAAACAGCAAAGTCTATAATAGACAAAGAGAAGTTAAGTCAATCAAATCTTTGTTAAAAGGTTGTCTTCTTCCATATTTGATTCAAATGTACTGAATTCGACGTAGTCTTGGAGATCTGACAGCGATATCAGGTTACATGTAAAACACAGGATTTGAATTTTTCAGAAGATGCGCAGATGATCGAGTGCCTCATTTGCTTTTATTGTAATCAGGAAGCTTAGATTGCACGAAAATGTTGCAGAAAATACGAGTATAAGTGAACTGTTTGCCAAACAACTGTTGCAATAATTAAATGAAACAATTTGTTCTTTTAAATTTCATATGGTGTGTGTTTAGTGGCGTTTGTCGTTTTGGACATCTCTGTCAAACGTAAAAAGCCAAATTTTTACCAGAGAGGACTTTCTATTGTAAGCAGGGAAAATACACCTAAACAAAGTCTTTGTAAAAAAAAGAGAAATGCTAGTACCTTCTCATTAGTACAAATAGGACCAGTAGTTTATGTATATTGATAATTACCCTTTAAGCTTGTGTGATCTGTACAGAAACATAAAAGCCAGGCACCTATTTCTGATGCTACCGGTTTGGCCATCCACTGCTGTTTGATGGTAATACCTTCTTCATCCAGCAGGTGTCGCACTGCAGCGAGGGTGGCTCTGTTGGTCACAAACAGCACGCTCAAGATGATCCGGTGGAGATGAGGTGGAGATCAGGATGATGGAGAAGACTATCCCTCTTCCTCACCAGGAAGTGTAGTCACAACAAAGAAAATAAAAATCAACCAAAGCAAATATTCTTTGTTTTTGTAGTCTTACAATATAAACATTTTTCTAAGTATATATTGAGAAATTGTTTTTTTTTTTTTTGCATTATATTTGATGAGAGTTACAGCATGTCCCTAAATAGATATCAGCCATCACAGTTGGAGAAACTTTTATTGGATCAGTGGGTTTAAACACAGAAGGATTTTGGCTCCACCTGTTGGTTTTTTTCCAGTAGCTATTGCAATTTGAAACTAATGATCAGAGGTGAGGTTCAGAATGTAGACCAAACATAGGTGTGCCTTATTTAGGTACAACTAGCAAGTACAGGGTTAGACCCGCTGCTTCCTTCAGAACTGCTTTGGTACTTTGTGGTGTGGAGGATCTGAGCTCCGTGTTATGATCTATAATCCTACCGGAAGTAGCCAGCAGAAGATGGGTTAGTGTTAACAAGTATGGACAGGAATACCTAATGAGGAGGGTGTGCAGGCTAAGTGGATTACCTTATAAAACAGATTCAGCTGTGAGTTTCAGAGGCTATACTTTTGGTTTTTAATCCTTTCTGGTGTGTGTGTGTGTGTGTGTAATTACTAAAAAAAATAAATAAGTCATACGTTCAATCAAATCAAACTGTTACTTTTGCAAAGGTTTACAGTTTTAAAATACTTTTGAAAGAGTGCTTTTTACTTCTACCTGATGTTATATGCCCACAGTATTTTAAGAATGCGCTCTTCTCCATCAAATGTGTCCTTTCTTAGCTGATTGGCTGGCCAGAAAATTAAAGCCTGAAGGAATAACTTAACACTTTCACCAAATCGATGCTTCTTTATCCTGTTTTTTTCATCCAGGGCTGGTTTCTCCTCTTGTTTTATGTGTGAACTAAGCTGTCATTAAAGCCCAGTTCATCCACTGTCACTGGATTTCAAATGGTACCAGTCAATCCAGTTACTGTGATTTGTGGTTCTTAAGTATTCATATTTTGAAGCAATACTCTTAAGCCTTTTTGTTTTGCTTTCACATCATCTTTAAGCTTTCCTGGATTTGTTTGGTGCATTTAGACATTCAGCCACAGAATTTGCTTTAAACTCTGCATCTTTTAGCCCTTTCAGTCAATTTTACACACAAACTAAACATACATTTAAAATATGACAGATTGTCTTCCTCACCTAAATTCTAAGAAAGTTCACATGACATCAAACTACACATTTAATCCATTTTAAAGAAATTAAGCTGGACCATGAAAGATGAGTTGAGGGTTTTTTCAAACTTTATTTTTTTCATCTCTTGAATCATAATTAGAGTAACAGTAGGTCTGCCGCTCAGGTTCCTCCTTCCACTGGTGACGAAGCTTTTAAAATCACACTAACAGTGAGATGGATACAGTAGTTACCATAGTACTCAGTCATAATTACACATCTAAATCAGCCGTGGGAGCTGGAGAGGGGGAACACGAACACAAATACTTTCACCAAATTGTCGCCTTGTCAATAAATGAAAACACAGATGAACTCAAAACACTCAAACACACATTTGCTGCTGCCTACATATACTGTAGTAGAGCTAAAGGGGTTGAAGATGCTATGATTTGGCTATGGGCGGGGCTTTTGTGTAAAAGAGAAGGGAGGGATTCATGATGGTTAGCGGTGGTCCCTTTGCTCACTTCCTCTCAGGACAGGAAGTGTCTACTCCTTGGAGTACATGTACAGCAGCAGGTCGGCAACACGGTTGCTGTAGCCGTACTCATTGTCATACCTGGAAGGAAAAGCAAAGGTAAGCAAAAGTTGACTTTAATTTTATTTCAGTGCATCTCATTAGATTAGGAAAGGTTCTTGCTCTACAGGCTTAGAATATGTTAGAAACTCACCAGGAAATGAGTTTGACAAAGTTGTCGTTGAGGGAGATGCCGGCGCCAGCATCGAAGATGGAGGAGTGGGTGTCTCCAATGAAGTCAGAGGACACAACCTGGCAAACACCAACGTCATAGATTACAAACAGATCTCAGTTTTATATCAATAAAGAGCTGCAGGTTCAGGGAAATACCTGGTCTTCAGTGTAGCCCAGCACTCCCTTCATGGGTCCGTGTGCGGCCTTCTTGACGGCCTCCTTGATCTCAGCGTAGGATGCAGACTTGGACAGACGGCAGGTCAGGTCCACGACGGACACGTCCGCCACTGGCACCCTGAAAGCCATTCCTGTCAGCTTGCTAGAAGAAGAGAGAAAGATTAGACCCTTTTGCTTTGCTGCTTCATGCTTTCTGACAGAATTAGCAGCAGAGCGGTCGCATACCCGTTGAGGTCAGGAATGACTTTGCCCACAGCCTTGGCAGCGCCGGTGGAAGCTGGAATGATGTTCTGGTGGGCGCCACGGCCGTCACGCCAGGCCTTGGAGCTGGGGCCGTCCACTGTCTTCTGGGTGGCTGTGTATGCGTGGACTGTGGTCTGCAGAAGGCAGAGTTACACTGGGTGAAGGACTGACGCCTTTAAGACTTCCAAAAATAAACGAATGCAGCAAAATATCTGGATAAGACACAGATTTAGGGTGAATTATCACCAGGCCTGTTTAGTCTGCTTCAATCCAACTCTAGTCTGTCTTCCCAAACACACTTTGTTTGTTTGTTTATTGATCCATACTAAAGTTCGACTGGTCTGATCAATCAAATATTGATGCGAACCAAAAAAGTGAACTCTGGGTTTCTTACAAACCCAGGTAAGAGGCCCATTTGGTTGCAGTGAACACTGGGGCGGTTCCAATACATATGCAAACACCAAGCAGACGGGAGACCACTCCAGAAGCAGGAAGTGGGCTATGGCAAAGGGGATTCTGGGTAAATACCACCAAAACACACAAATCTAATGCTCACAGAAAAATGTAACTCATAGTCTTTGATCAAAGACAAAAAAAAAATCCGACAAAAGCTAAACCCGGTTGCTACTCCATTTTTGTTCCCATTTTGCAAAAAAAAGAATTTGTGTTCAGTGTCTTCTTCTGAGGTTTTCATGCTGTTTTCTTCAGTGGTTCTTGGTGCAGCGCCACCACAGGCGAGGGGGGGAACAGGCGTTTCAATCAGTTTGGATCATTTGATACAGTGCGATGTGAAAACTAACGCACCGGCTGAACTTTGGTCCCCAAACAAACCGAGTTCACCAGACTACCAGGTGTTTCTTACCATGAGAGCCTCCTCGATGCCAAAGTTATCGTGGATGACTTTGGCCAGGGGAGCCAGGCAGTTGGTGGTGCAGGAGGCATTACTATGCAGAAACAGATAAAAACTCATCATTACTCAGAAAGGCTTGTAAAATACTGCAAGTTAGAAATAATATTCAAAGGGAGCATTACCTGACGATGGTCATGGAGGACGGGTCGTATTTGTCCTCGTTAACTCCCATGACAAACATGGGGGCATCAGGTGAGGGGGCGGACACGACCACACGCTGTGCACCGCCCTGGATGTGAGCCTGAGTTCGAAATATTATGAAAACACAGGTTAGAAACCGGGTCATCGCTCCATGCCGTGCGTAATCCGCTGAGCGTTTCTTTGTGTGTACGTACGTTGGCCTTCTCCAGGCTGAGGAAGACTCCAGTGGACTCGACGACGTATTTGGCACCAGCGCTGCCCCAGGGGATCTCAGCAGGCTTCATACTGGGGGAAACAAAGGAGACGGCGACAATGAATCTGTGTTGGCTCTGTCCATGTGAGAAAAGCAGATCCTGTCCACTGTAATTTAGCGTTCAGGTCCTTGGTATGTAAATTGACAGGAAGCTTTATGTGGCGTGAAGCTGGAATGTCTCCTCTGTAACCGTCCTGTCGGTTTTCCCATCGCCAGAGCTGAGACTCTGAAACACAATGAGCTAAACCAACAGCTGCCGCAGACAGTGAAGCAGAAAGCCTCGTTCCAAAGCCAGGAATTCACTCGTACACATAAAAAAACAACACAAAAATTCACAAAAAAAATCTGTCTAAAACAATAACCGTCTTCATAATCACACTATGCTGAGTCCAACGTCACAACAGCCTCCTGGAATCTGCAGATGTCAGAAAGTCTGAAGGATAATCAAGCGTCTTCACTTACCACTGGAAAACAGAGATGGCTTTGCCATCAACATAAAGCTTGCCACCATCATGGGAGACCTCGCCATGGTAACGGCCGTGGGTGGAGTCGTACTTGAACATGTAGACCTGAGAAAAGGGAGGGCAAGAAATAATGAGTCACGGTGAAAAGTTTCACGAGCTGTAGTTTTTGGATTTGGCTTTAAAACATTTAGATCTTTCTATGTAAAACTAATATTAACCTACAATAATACTTGGTGTAGAAAAATATGCATGTATGACTTTTAGCCATTTCAGAGAAGATTCTGAACAAGTATCTGGATTGTTGCCATTTTATTACAATGTCTGACGTTTAGCAATATTAGGTCAAGATCTACATGTTTTCAACAGAGTTAACAATAACAATAATAATAACAATAATAATAATAATAATAATAATAATAATAATAATAAAAGTAAAGTTTTACATATACATTTTAAATATTTTTTTGAAAAACAAAACAGATAATCTAAATACACAGTTGAGTTATTCTCACTAAAACAAAGCTAAATGAAGTGGTTTGGTATACTTGAACACTAAGAGGTGAATTAATGTCAGTTTAAATCATTGTCCTCTTAGTTGTTGTCTTTTCTATTTTGTTGTTATTGTAAAATAATAAAACAAATCCATATAATTTGCATTAAAACAGTTGACCAAATTAATTTTCCAAACATTGGATTGGTTTGCAAAGGGCAAATGCCACTCACAAGATGGAAGATCTACTGGTTTTAATGGCAAAAACTAATCTGCAACTTCTAAACATGGGTGGAAATTAATTGTTTTAATGATTTATCAACCACTCAAACATTTCACCAGCCATTGTTTCACTGCTTTTCTTTTTTTGTTACAACTCCCACAAGTACAATCAAATTACATAAATCATGATTTATTCTTTTCTGTAAGAAAAATGATTTATTCACAAGAAGCTTAGCATCCGCATGTACTTAAACAGACCCCACTTAACACTGGGGTAGTGCAATAAGTTATATTTAAACAATTACAAACATCAAACTTTAACCACTACAGTAACAAATCACAAAGTCTTTTCTTTAGTTTCTGGATTCTACATCAGTAATCATCATTGGATTCAGACTCTGAATCTGACAGTGATTTTCCTTCCTGCTGTGCATGAAATCAGCCTATCTGGGTGTCGTGCTGCCCTGGTGCCACAGCTGGATGGCATGTGTGCGATCAAAACCCTCAATCTGGGGTAGTTACTGAAAGTCTAGACCTCCAGTCGCTTTGACAAGCTTCATCACATTAAATCGCCTCTCAATCCTTTCATTAAGAAACCGACATTTAACTTTCTGTTCTTCCCTCGACTCCTCTTGGGAAACGTTTTTGTTCTCTGCCAGCTTAACTAACAAAATGCAACATCGCATTGCTGAAGTTACTGCTCAGATATTCTGGTTTTATGTTTCAAGTCTAGCTGAACAGAATAAGTCTTACAATCATTTCCTATGTTCAGCATTTCCACATTTTGGCCACAACTTCCCCAGATGGTAATTAGTGAAGGTGTGTCTCTAATCATGTTTTAAAACATTTTTTAATTATATTAACTTCTATTTTTTTCATTACTTTTTCCGTTTAATGCAGAATTTTTATTATTACTATTACACACATGCCAAAACATGTTCATTGTTCATTCCACATGCCATTATCATTCCTGTGTTATTACAGTGTTTTTCTGACTGCGAGCCAGCCGCCACTCACACACACACACACACACGCACACACGTACACACACCTGCCCCCTCCCTACATGAAACATTCCTTCTTCATAGATGTCTCAAAATAAAATGTAAGATTTTTTTCACACCAGATCCGATTTTAATCTTTTATTTTTTTGCTCATTTTCTTTTCTAATAAAGAAAAGACAGAAAATATTTTCAAAATGAGGCTCTTATTTCTACCATTCCTTCTGTGAGTTGTATGAGTACTAAGGCCAGGCTCAACATTCCTCATAAAACTATGACTTTCTTTTGCATTACTTCAACTGTATTATCATAACATTCATTCTTACAACTAAAAATATCATGGCCTTACCCTAATATGACCTGCATTGAAAGTCCAAATAAATATAAACAGAAGCTGTAAAACACGTTTGTCAAACAAGATGGGGGCCTTGGGCATGGTGACTCTGAACTACCGAAGCCCAAAGGGTTTATTGGTGAGAAAAAAATCTTGATTCCTTCAAATTCCAAAAAATTGATTAATGATGAAAATCGCACATCCCTAATTCTTTATGAACATTTGGACTCCTTCTTACCGGGCTGGCAGCAGCTAATCTGACCTCTGACCTTAATCTGTCCCTGGGTCACGTCTCTCTCCTCATCGTCAGACGATGAATCCCCTGAACGGCTAATTCTCCCTCCTTCTCCGGCCCTGAAGCTACTCCAGCAGTAGAAGCTTGTAGGGTAAACATATCAGTTAGTTATTTCTCTGTGTTTTTCTGGGCGCTTTCCATCCTTTGTTCTCACCATTCCATACTTTTGTCAGAATTCAACCAGTGGCCGGAGCCAATTGCCAGCCCTGGTTCTAACTCTACGATTCCTCCACATCTCTGATTTTACGTGCAGTGAAAGTGTGATAACATGCTGTAACCCAACAAGCTCAAAGCTCTCTCACCATGTACTGCAGGTCGATGAAGGGGTCGTTGATGGCTACGACTTTGATGCCTTTCTGCAGGCATGCCCTCAGGACCAGGCGGCCAATGCGACCGAAGCTGCAGACATTGACAGACAGATGTTTAACACTCATTTTTAAATCTTTATCAACATTAAATAATAGTTTTCATGAGACACATATACATCGTAGTTTGTGAGAACCTCAAAAATGATGCTAAAAGGTAAACTGAATTGTGCATTTAAATACTTTCCCTGATATTGGGGACAAAAGTGAATAAACTGCGTAGTGTCAGTAGGTGATATTTCATGGATAACTTTGAGAAGCGACTATCACCACGTGACCTTTTCCTTTTTCCGACAGTCATTTCTGATCCTGTGTATAAAACATGAGGTTCAAACTCACCCATTGATTCCAACACAGAGGTCTGACATGGTTGCTGTTGCTTAGGGGGTATGGAGTTACCTGTACAACAAAACAAACGCCGGTCAGAATCAACACACGCCCAATGATTGACGTAAACTGACCTCTAAAGGAAAATGTCAACGTTTTAACAGCATTTGGAGTTTAAACATCAGACATCAGGGGTGACAAAAGACAAACAAGATGATTTGTGAGGGCTTTAACAATGGATTATTTTAAAACGAGTTTAGCTAATCAGGTCGGACTGGTAAATCGTGTTGCTACCAACCCATAAACTCTGTTTTCTACACAACAAGCCCGAGTAATATTACGAAAATAAAAAGGAAATACTGAAAAAAGTATAGATTGTGTGTAGATAAAGGTGGATTCTGAGCCACATGGTCGATTTGTGAAAATGTAGAGAATTTTATTTGTTTATATGCAATCGGCATTTTTCTGTGATCAGGTAGGCGGAAGCTCCACAGATTCAAGTTAGAGAGAACCAATAGCAACAAGCAGTTGTCATCATATCTCTAAAAATCATCTCTGCAGTCAAACAGAGGAATGTTCATTAGAAATGAGCCATGTGTCATTTCTGATGAAAATATAGCGCCTGAAGCTTCTCTGGGCTACAAGTGACCTGCGGACAGGCCGGCAGCAGCTAAAATCTCGTCACAACCAGGTTCAGCAGCTCTGGTTGACGTCAACAAAGGAGGTAAAAATACAGGACATTAAAATCTGCATTTCCTCAGCCTGCTCTGCTGAGGCGTGGAGGAGCTGCTGCACCATGCAGGGACATGTTTAGAAAACAAAAGGGATCTGAAGGCCGGGAGAAAGCGGCTGGTATGCAGCGCAGCAGAGAGACGGTGTCCGCCAGCCCAGCAGAGGGGAACGTCTGGCTGTGACACAACTATTCGACCTCCTTTTCTCTCTGCCTTTTCTCGCCGTTTCACACGGTTCGCTCATCTGCAGGATCAACCACCGTCATGTCCCTTTTGTTTCAACTCTAAGCAGGACCGCATCAGCTTAAAACATGGAGATTGTTACATAATCTGATCTGATAAGTTTTCATGGCATTCCTTAACATTTCTGCCTTTGAGTTAAATACAGATGGTTGTGATGGTTGTATTTTAGTAGATGACAAAACTTTGAGGAAATCATGTGAGCGTTGGTGACCCATTTAGGGCTAAACACATGAAACGCTGCAGTGCAGCAACAGCTGAAAATGAAATGCACTAATAAATCAGCCAGTTTGCCTTTATCTGCAGCTCAAATGATTAAAAATCTTTGTTCTTTATGTCCCCTCTTTTTATTAATTGCATCAAAGAAGCCCCATCATTTTCGATACACGTTGAGTTTAGTAAAGATCAGATTCAACTATCAAAGAACCTGAGTTATAGTCCACAGAATAAAAACTAAGTCATTTAAAATAATGAGACATTGTAGAAAACTGGAAGCCGGCTTAGAGATGCCTGATTAGTGCGTCTGTAACAGAAAACCATATTAATATGTCAACAATATGTGTATAAAATACTTCAGCTTGATGTGTGTGGAACAGGTAGGGTGGCACTGGCTTGTCATTTTCAGCTACTCTAATCTCCTAATCTGTTGTGTGTTGGGACATTGGGGACAAGCTGTCAATCCGCTGAAATGCATTATGGGAGTACTTTAAATAGACTGCAGGGGTAACCAGATTACAATTGATGAATTTTACCTCACAGAACAGCACAAACAATGATGCTGATGGTATCTGGAGCATCCTGTGGCTGGGATGACACTGTTACTGTACTTCTCCACACCTGGAGTCAACTATTGAACTGCTATTAACTATCACGTTCTGTCTGATTGATCCAAAAGGCTCATTATGATCTTGTTTCTGTGCTTTATCCTGCTTTTTCTTGAAGGCAGAGCAGCCATTTTATGTTCTGCAGCCAGCATCCGTAACACAAGGTCACTAAAGGAGAGACAAACAGGAGAGTGTGTGTACAACATGACAGATCTGTTTCCACTTCGTGTTTTCACAAAATTCAAGGGTAGCTTTCCCTCCTCCTGTAATCTTCTTCCTCTCCTCCTGCATGAATAGTAACGTCTCACTTTTCTCTGCACAGAAGCAGTTGCCCTGGGTTCCCAGAACAAAATGGCCGCCCTGCTGACAACCGATTCAACAGTGTGTGGTCCGTTCTGCATCTTAAAGCAGGTGGAAATTTCTGCTGAGCAAGAAGTTGAATCTCAAACATGTGGCTCCAGATGTGGAGAATTTCATAATTTCACTGCTTCTCCGATGAGGCAACACGCCGAGGCACGTCATGCATGTAAACCTGCACACACTTGACGAAACAATCCCGTTCGTGTCCTTTGGTGTTGCCCCGAGGCCGTTTGAGCGACTGGCAAATGGAAAGGCACGGAGGAAGGAGGATGGAAGTTGCAATAGTTTGTAAGTGGTTTGAAAAAAAAGGAAGAATTTCTCAACCGAGAGGCAATAATTACAAAAAGTAGAAGCATAAATGCAGATCTCTTAGGGTAGTAAGGGAGTTCCGTTTTGCAGAAAAGTTTCTCATATCATGTTTGCATGCAGCCAACTAATGGTGCCATTTTCAGTCTACTCTAACCTATTGACTAATTATTTTTGACATCTAAAGTCAGCTTGAAAACCTCAAATGAAACCTAAATGTAAACCAGATCTGCAAGTGGTGTAAACTGTTTATCCTTTTTTTCTATTAAAGATGCAATTATCAGACTGTTTTCTGGCCTGATGGCTTAACTTTAGAAGAGTTTACTAAACTCAGCCAGTTAGGGGCATATGTCTCAATGCATAAATGGGAATAGTCTGGTAATTAAACTTAACCTACGTTAAGTAAGCTTAACATAAATGTATCCCAGATTTTATGTAGCAAGCAGATATAAAAGGTTCCAAGGGTTATCTTCACTTTAACTTCACCCTGAAGTTGTGCCTCTTTTGAACAGACGGCACAGTTAGCCGCAGTCTGGCATTTGGACTGCACTCACTCTGAAACGCCACCGCTCACAGAGGCACCATTGTGCGGTGGAGAGTAGCGAGGTAACACACTGGTGGCTGCAGCTTCCAGTCTGCTGGCACTCATTAATATGTTAGAAGAGGAGGCAATTAGAAAACAGGACATAATGGCAAAACCAGGTAAGATAAAACCTGTTATTATTATGTTTTGTTCTGGAGTTTCCTCAATAAGGAAAGACATAAGGGTGAAGAAAAACCTTCAGTTCAGATCTGACAATGAAGGCGAGTCAGGAAAATATGACAAAGCTTCAGGGTATCATTTACTCCAAATTAAAGTAGGTGCAATTAAACGCTTAAGGTACGAAAAAAAGAGATGTGGATCAGACTGAATTATGGGAAATGTAGTGCAGCAAACTCAAACAACAACTTTATACAGCATTTTACTGATCTTCCCTCTCGTCTGCATAAGTCTGTCCCAGATAACCCCCGATATTTCCCCTCTTCTTCCTGACCCACAGCTGCTCCAACATGACCTCTCTCATGACCCCAAATCCACACACAATCATTAAAATTCAGTGAGCCCCTATAGCTTAAATTTGACCCCTCACCCGCCGCTGAGTCTGATTCTCTTGTTTTTGCACAGCTTCCCCCTCCCCCAGGCTTCGGCCCCTTTTCAGCTCACTAACAGCAGGAGGGATGAACTGCAGGGACCACTGGGGGGAGGGATGACTCATAACCAGTGACCAAAAAAGGTTCAATTCACCAGACTGCATCAGGTGGTCCAGATTTTAAAAACCGCATGCACGAGAGGATCAGAGACAAGCATGATGCAGCATTTTCACTGAACTCATTCGTCCTTTCCTGCAAACCCTCACCTATTCCCTAATTCACCAAGTTGTCTCTTTCCTTAGCTTTGCCTCAGTTTATGCACTGGTCGGAGATTTCACAAGGGTGAGTGAATGCGAGCAAGTTCAGCGAGTGCCTCCTCACTTTCCCGCACCAGAGCGCCCCCCCCCCCCCCCCCCC